TAGATGAATGGAATGGATGAATGTACGTCACCACACTAGTCCAACGCTAGTTGTGGCTTCTTTTATCGTTTCCACTAGTCCAACGCTAGTCGGAATTCATAGGATGGGCTAGTCCAATGCTAGACCCAATAGGTTTTTTCCTTTTTTTCATTTAAGTGCATGATCACCACATATCATGCATTTTTCATTAGTTTTATCATTTGGTATGTTCCTCAAACCCCTTCCCCTTCACTTTAGGACTTGCATCTCATGCTAGTTAGGGTTCATCTGCGTGAAAATCCCCTCTTGATAAGGGAAACGAGCGAGTGTGGCTACTCGATAGCCTTAGCACGCTAGTTTTACCTTCTAATCCGAGGGAAAATCAAAGTCGAAAATTAGGCGTCACCCCCGTACCTGACTTGTTGCATTCCCCTAGGGTCATACTTTCATTTTTATCACTTCCATACTCTTTTAATCACATTTCTCTTACACTTCTCAATCCATATTTTTCACTACATCTTTATCATTTATTTACTTTACTTCACAAATGAAATTCAAGTTCCACTTATATATGTACTATTCTATCTTCATTCATTTGCACACACAAACACTTTGATTTTCATCCAAATTCACACATGCACCTTTTTATACATTCGCACACTTGCACTTACATTTCTTGCATCTTTCATACACTTTCACACTTGCACACTTGAATTTGAACTCTCATTTGCATTAATCGACCTCTATGAGGTTTCCCTTTATTGGCCGCCACAATTCATGTGGTTTGGGACCAAAAACCTCACGAGAGACATCGTAGAATTTAGGATTGCATTTTTTCGTTTTCGCATTCATATAGGCATAATCCAACATGCAATACATACCCTGGGTAGAAAGTCAGGAAAGTTAGGGTTAAGTTACGCAACTAGCCTTGGCTAGGTCAAAGGGGTGCCTTGGAGTCTATCCTTGCCTTCCTCTTTGTCAAACGTGACTCCCGAACCTTTTTCTTTGTTTTACGTAGACTAGGAGTCGTTTTAAAAAGGGTTTATTATTACTTAATTCATTTTTAGGTGACTTGGTACACCTTAAATCATTACCAAGTGGCGACTCCAAATTTTTCATTTCAAAACCCTTTTTAAAACTATTTTTTGGGTCAAATCGTCGCTTTCCAAAGTCCCATTGAGACCCATGTCTTTTCAACTCACAAAAATCATTTTCCAATCAAAATTGAAACAATACATCTTTCTCAAACAATTTATATTTATTCATTCAAAAAATGGGGCGCGACAGTAAAGATAGAGATAAAAGTAAAAATATTTCAAAAGTTAAACAAACACCAGAAAAATGAAGTAAGAAAATATTTTCAATAAGCTAACCAAACACCTGAAAATGATGAAAATGAAATGATTTTCATGAAAAATTACTTCCACGGAAAATATTTTTCCAAGAAAAACATTTTACTTCCAACCAAACAGACCCTAAACCAAAATAATATGCCTTCACGAAAAAGATATTGCATGGATTGGTAAAATGATAAATCAAGATACAGAATTACATACCTCATTGAGAAAATTTGTAGTAAAACTCTCTTTGAAAGAAGCCTTTATCCTATTTGATAAATATACCCAATTAAAATTATGAAAACTTACTTCTTTTATTAATGAACTATATCTTTGCATTCTGAATTACTTAAAAATCTACAATTACAATAAACATTAACCGAACTACTAAATAGAACACTTGGTTTGAAACATTTACAGGAATGGAGCTTGAATCAAGGAAGAATAGGAAAAATCTAAGGGTTGAGAAGGGCAAGAAGTCACTTTTGGGCAAGAAATTAAGGTCAAGATCATATATTCAGAAAAAGAAAACCAAAAGTTATCAGATGAATCAAGGAGAGATTTGAATAAAATATATTTTAGAAATTTGAAAACCGAAAACCTGAAGTCATATCTTGAATAAACCATATTTCACCCCAAAACCTGCAATCAAATGCTTAGTATGGCTAATAAAGAAGAAACTAGTGCATCAAAGTAACAAGTCATAAAATCATCTATGGCAATTGGAAGAAGTAGCATCAAATATTCAGTCACTTTCTTAAAAACAGAAACTTATGGTAAGTAAAGTAACTACGTCCAATGAAAAATTAATAAGTCAGCTGATCTTCAATTTTCAAACCAAAATAAGGATACAATAGTCATTTCGATGATATACGTTGTCGTCTTGTCCAATTCAAATTCTTTTTTTCCATTTCACAATAATCCGCATGTACTTTAATTATGCATTTATCTTCTAGTACAAACTAAGTCTAATTTTTATTGCTACCTAAATATGGTTTAATCACTTACACATGACCTTTTCACAATTATTATATCATATTATATTTCGATATCAGCATAAAGGACAGCCTGTACTAAGCTTGTACTAAGTCTAATTTTTTTTTTCCCCTCAAGCAGGCTTTGGAGGGTCTCTACTTCTTGTGACTTGAATGTTTCCTTAATTTAGAGAGTGAAGGCGTGGGATTTTCGAGTTTATGGAACCACGTATATGAGCAGAATCTTTAGAAGACGTGCTTACATTTGACCAGTAGTTCTCAGACGTGGTGTCCATGCCAGCTTAACAATCTACGCCTTTGTATTGTGCCACCCTTGATCAGAAGGGCAAATTGAATGGTCAATGAATTTGGTTCCATGTTAACACATCATCGTAAATTTATTACTTCAAAATTCAAAAAGAAAACGAAGACATCTGTCTACGGGTGAAGTTAAAGTAATTTTATGCTAGATACTCTTTTGGTACATAGCATTTTGTTGGTAGGTAGTGCTTTTTTTTTAATGTAAGTGGAAGGTTTTAAATTCGTAATCTCTAACTTGCGCTCCCTACCTTATCGTTCAATCCATCCATCAAGATCCTCAGTGCTTTTGATCATGTAGCATTAATTTACAGATAGTGCCTACTCTATGAATTGAAGTTGGCGATTGTACCTACTTATTAGTGAATTGGATATATACATTAATCCCTTATGGTTTGCAGACACAAATTTTGTTTCTCATTATTTTGACTAGTTTAGGCTTGATTGTGCATGTTGGGCCCTTACATTACAACGAAACACCTCAACAACTACAAGCATTGCCATGAATGAATTAGAGGCCTCTACAACACTATAATATTAAGTCAGTTTTTGGTTAAACTCTTCTTTAAATTTCAACCGCTAAGGAAAGGGATGGGGGAGGAAATGTAACTGAGAGATTTCGAGTTCGATACCTCTCACTTACACTAGGGAAAAAAAATTATACGGCTTCCTTATGGGTAAGATAATCTTTATAGATTAGGGTAAGATACATTTTGTAACAGTGAGTATGGGTGCAATTACTCTTTTACTCTCATTTAGATAGCCGAAAATCTTCATATTTAGTTTCTGAAGGCCTTTGATTTTTGTGTAATTTAGCATGCGTTGATAAATTTGTCGTAAAGTTTATAATAAAGGCCCGTTAAGATTTTCTTCCGATTTCAGCAGTAATATGATTGGTTTCATTTCTTGTCTCCTAATTATCGGTTAAATTAACTACTTCTTGCTCCTTTATTGTCACATGCGATTTGGTTATGTCCAGCAATTATTGTCTCATCCCCTGAAGCAGCTGAGAAGTTCTTCAAGACTAATGATCAACCTTTCGCCAATAGCCCCATAGTGAAAGTTCTTGGTACATTGATCATGAGCAAAGGAGCTGGACCTTTGGCCAATATGGTCTGCACTGGAGAAACATTAGTAAGCTTGGCATTTTACACTCACTTTGTAGCAAAAAGATCGATCCAATTGTGTCGAGAACAAGAGAAGACATTGGAGTATTGGTGAAATCACTCGAACAAAATCATTCAAACAGGCTTCTTTTGATGGTGCTGCTGTTCATCTTAGCGCTGCAATTTCATCCTTAGGCGCGATGGCATTTGGAACTCTTGCTAAGGTGTTGTTTGATAATTTTCTTGAGAAAATCATTGGTGAGCATCTTCGATCCGGAGAACAAGCAAACCAAGGACTTTGTAGACATCTTGATGGGAATCAATATTCTATCAGGTGAATCTGAATTCGAGTTCAATGGTCATCATGTCAAAGCTGTTTTGTTAATACTTTTGAAAGCTTCCAAGATTTTTGTTTTTATTTTGCACTTCAATTCTTTTGTGTTCTTACCAAAGTTTTGAAACGCATCCTGCTCATTGAATTGGAAAATATTATTGGATCAAAAGTCACTGGTTCAACCGTTAGTCTAATCATTATTGCCTCGTGATACTATAATTACGTCATAAATAATTAATATATTACTTTAACTATAATATAGTCCAATAAAATGACCTCTATATACTTTCTTGGTTAATGTATTGAATTAAAAATCAAATTCCTTCTAACCAAAAAATAAAGAAATCATCCCTCATTGATCAAATTTAAAAATGACTTTGTAGATAAGAAACATGAAATTATATGACAATTGAAACTTCTAAATGATTTAGAGTTAAAGCATAGTTTCAGAAACAAAAAATGGCAAAAAATGCACGGTTGTACATCTTGCATTAAATATGCTGACAACTAGATTAAGATCACTTGATTACATGAAAGAACCAGACATAAATGTTCAACGTCAAGAACCGAACTACTTTAATAAGAGCCATTTCTTGTTCAATGGATACTGGACGAGTTAACTGCTTCATAATATTTAAAAGCAGTTTTTTAAACCCTTTCAGGTTTGAACGTCAACCCAACTCGGTTAGCAACCAGGACAATGGTTCAACCAGTTGGACTGGACAGTTTGATTGGGGTTTTAAAACCTTGGTTCTCACCGTTATTAGATGATGCCATTGTTTCTATTTTTGATAGAGCGATTTCATTTTTCGTTGCTGTATTAAACTTTAACAAGTTATGCATTTCAATAATTGGATTGTCTGTGACAAGTGAAGCAAATTTGACTCCTCTCCTGATTTGGAGTTTCATGATTAAGGCAAGTTTTGCTGATGATTACTAAACAACCATTGCACTATGGTTCCAAAACGGCAATGGCCTTAAGAGGCACTGCCTTGTTTATTGTAGCTTCAAAGTTTTCGGTCATGTCAAGTTCTTCTGGTTTGATCCCTTCTTCAAGCTTCCATTCAAATTTATGAAGCAAAGCAGCCACCATGAGGTGCGCCATTCGATCAGCCAGCAGTAGTCCTGGACAAATTCTTCTTCCCGAGCCAAAAGGAAGGAGCTCAAAATGCTGGCCTTTCACATCAATTTCTGTATCCATGAAACGTTCAGGCACGAATGAAGTAGGATCTGACCACAAGCTTGGATCCCTGCCAATACCCCACACGTTAACCAGTAAATCAGCACTTTTTGGCACCATATATCCATTGATTTCTGCGTCACTTTCAGCTTGGTGAACTAGGAATGGGGCAGGAGGGTGAAGACGAAAGGTTTCTTTAATAACCGATCGCAAGTAAGGAAGATTTGAGATATCTGATTCTTGAACCATCTCGTTTTGTGGAATGATTTCCATGATCTCATCCCTAGCTTTTGATTTTTTTTCAGGGTTGCGTATTAACTCTGCCATTGCCCATTCCACGGTGACTGAACTTGTTTCTGTCCCTCCAACTAATAAATCCTAAAATAGAGTGGAGTCGGAATCAAATTATGGTCATCAGGTGATTTTTTTTTCTTTTCATAATGCAGGAGTGATATATTAGGAGTTTAGGACCAGTTATATATATAAAGCATGCATTGAATGTATAGGTGCATTAATATTACTCACCAGAATCAAATGCTTCATGCCCATGTAGCTCAATACAGATTCATTTTGCTGATTAAGATCAAGGAGGGTTTCCAAGAAGTCATTTTTCCTGAGATAAGTGTTGGATGTGTTTCTTTCTTGTGATCTCTGACGAATGATACCATCAATAATATCAAGCAATTTTCCGTAAGATGACTTGGCTGTACGCCTTATGCCCTGTGGATCAATTGCACTGAGGACGGGAAAGTAGTCCACGAGATTAGGACTAGCAGCTGTTTGAGCGCAGTCCACACCATTTCTTTTATCTCTCGAGACGTGTTAGAGTTAGATATAGAATCAAATTGTGCAAAATCAACGGAGAAGAAAGTGTTCCGCATCAAGTCGAGAGATGTTGAGAAGGCAGCTTCACCAATATTTATGGTCTGTCCTTTGAGACCATGTTGGCGTACATAATTGCACAGTTGCTGCACCTTTTCTTGGCGGAGCCCTTGACTGGCATTGAGCCTTTCTGATGAAAAGATACGCTCTTTGCATAGTTTGCGAAGATTGCGCCACTGGCTTTGTGCTGGTAACCAGAAAACTGAGAACTTATGGTGGTCCAATGCTCTGGCTGCATCGCGGATTTCTCTGCCTGAGAACTCTAGATCATGCTTTTGAAGCATTTCCTTGGCAATTTCTGGTGATGATACAACTATTGTTCTTCTACTTCCGAATTTAAGTGACATCAAAGGTCCATAAGTTTGAGAGAGTTTCACAACTGATATTGGGGAGAATCCACTGATTTGCAGCAAGTCACCGATGATTGGAAATGGTTAAGGCCCTGGAGGGAGTTTCTTGGACTTGCATTCACTGGCATTTGGTAAGATCAGAACGTGAATACAGTAACAAACATGGTTCAAAGTCGCGGTTGCGGCTGCGGTCGCGGCCTAGATCGTTCCACATCGGTTTTGGTATATCGATTGCAGTTTCGGCTAGACGCGAATTTTTGAAATATTTAATATTTTAAAAATTGTAAAAAATATCATAAACAAAAATAATTAAAAATTAGTAAAAATAATAATAATTCGAGTTGATTCGGAATGACTCGGAGTGATTCGGTGTGACTCGACTGTTTCAACCCTTCACGGTGATGTCTCGGCGAGTTGACTATCTCGGCATCGTTTCGTCACGGTATCGTATCGGCGAGAGCCGAAACGGTGACGACTCGGCCGAGTCTTCGAACCATGGTACCAAATAAGAGAAATTAGAGGTATAAGTATCCAAAAGGGAAAGGTGTTTGGGGCATCCATATTTTCACTGTGAGAACCCGTAAATCCCTAATAATTTTCTTAGGGTTTTCCCATTTAAAGGCATAATTTTTGCATTTTCTGGCTTAGGAAAATTCTCCTGGTAAATTTTATGAGTAATTATAGTTTTTAGATGATTTTTCTAGTATTGGAGAGTTTTTGAAAAATTAAGAGTATATAATGGACGTGGGACCCACAAGTGCGAAAAGTTCGGAAAAGTTCGGCCAATTAGGTTAAATTTCGGATTCTGGTGGAAATTTATCGGGTGTTAAGAGATGAGTAGAGGTTGAGAAGTGATTGATGTGAGAGGGAATAAAAGGATAGAGTTGCATTTATGGAGGTGACAAGTGTCACCTTGTGAGTGGTGGCACTTGTAGACAACTATTCATGGCTTTTGACCTTTTTGACTAATTGGTTAAATATCTAAAAAAATTAACCAAAATTCATTCTTTCTTCTCCTCCATGGCCGGTTCTCTCTTGAGCAAAGAAGAAAGAAACTCTTCAACATTTTAGCTTCCATTTAGCTCAATCTTCCAAAACCAATCACCTAAATTAGTTTCTACTCCATAAAATCCCTTCCTTTGGTGCTAGTAAGTGTTTTTGTGGAAGTGTTCAAGGAAGCTAAGGTGTTCTACAACTCCTTTTCTCTTGTTTACTAGGTAAGTGGTGCTTGAACTTCCTCCTACACCTAATGATGCTTAATTTGTGCCTAGTGGTGGCTAAAGTGCTGAAATTTGTGGGTTATTTCTTGGTTTGAAATGAATTGGTGAAGCTTTTATTTTATTGATGAATTTTCTGGTTTAATGTGATCATGATTTTGTGGTTATTTATGATGGTTGGTAATGAGGGGTAATGACTCTAGTAGGTGTAAATGATTGGTAATTGCAACCAATTTTGGGTTTGGAAGGAATTTGAGGAAGTTAGGGTTTCATAACCCCCTTTTCTGTCCGGTTTTGTATCATATGGTTAGATGCCGAATTGGCCTTTTCTTAAAACATGAAAGTTGTAGGTATTGATGTGTTTGAGGTGCCTGTAAAATTTCAGGTCATTTGGAGTAGTGTAGAGTGAGATATGTCGATTTTACTGTTGCTGTTCTGGGTTGATCAGAATGTGCGAACTGCGCTTGTAATCGTCTGTTTTGACTGGAATGGTTTTGGATTTGGATGTTGGTGTCTTCTGATGAAATGTAGCTGGATGTCTTGGCTACCGTATACCTTTGGAATCAATGCATTTGGACCTGTATAGACTGAGTTGGACTAATTACAGTATAGTGTGATTTGTAAACCTGCAATTACGGTTCTGGTTTGGTATTCTGCATTTTTGACCTAGTTGTGCTAGGCTTTGGACTGAGTGGCCTTCTACATTGTTGTAGCCCTTTCTTTTATCTTCGAGATGGTGGGTCTTACACCCTCATCCGATAAGCGTAGCGCATTTTGTGCCATTACCGCATAAGGAGGCCAAAACTGTTTTGTTGTTAGGGCTAATATAGTTACATTTCCTGATTTTCTGGTTTGCTATCATGCTTATATATGCATATGGAACCCTATTGGGGTCATGTTTGGCATTGGTTTATGACTCGTTATCGAGTCTCATTGTACTTGTTTACATGTTTTAGGGCTTGCTTTTATTCCGGTCATTTCCTAATTAACTTTTACTTTGAGCCTAGTGAATGGCTTTTGGAAATGAGGTGAATTTTGTGTGAGATGTTGGGACTGATTCGAGGAAATAATGAAGCCTTAATGGCTGGAAAAGTAAGAAATTTAGGGGAAGTGCTGCCCGTTTTTCTAGGCCGTTTGGTTCTTTTAAGTTGGATTTGCCTTTTGGTAGAAATAAAAGGGCTTTTGGGTTGTTGAACCTAGGTCTTTATGCTATCTTTTTGTTCCCAAAAATCATGTTTTGTACCCTTGCATCAGTAATTATTTGGCGAGGCATACGACTAGTAGTCGAGCCTCATGTGCATTGTGTTTACTCGATTATGGATGTGAAACCTTCAATTGGTTTATTTTGGTTATTTTAGGGTTTCTTGGCGATTAAGGCCAATCTGAATGACAGGTGCCGAACCTGTGCAATAATAAATACTAAAAAGTCCTAATTACCACCTCAATTAAATAATTATAAAGCAAATCCAAGTACTGGAGCAGGGACCCTAGGTGTGCAATGGTTACTTGATTCACCCTGTTCCGAAGAGTTTGCTTGATCCGATATACCGGATTTGTCTATAAAAATACTAATTTTGCGTACAATGGCAAGTAGGGTCGATTCCACAGGGAGCAGGTAGGAAATTATTTCTTTCCAAATTAGTAGAACGAAATTGGGGGGGGGGGTTTTCAATGGGGGCAAATAAATAGAATAAAAGTAAAATAAAAATAAAGCAAACCAAATTCAGAACTAACTCACAAAGCGCAATTCAATAAAAATAGTAATTGATAAAAATTCTACCCAAAGGATCAACTGCTCAGGCACGGTCCAAATAAATGCTCATCGATGCAAAGATATTTCATCCATTTATCACTAGATTGGTTATAGTTATCAATAAGCTCTGACAACCAGTTCTTCCTTACCTTTTCGACAGTCAAGGTACGACCATTGACCGCTTCCCTAACTAGATAACAACCCTAGGTACGACCATAGGAATTTAATTACCCAATTGCATTAAAGCTAGAAGAACCCTTCCCTAACCAGTAAACACGCTAAGAGGGTTTATTTAAGTTAGATCCTGCATTTCCCCATCATAAAACCAATTATGGTGGTTGCCACGGGGTGTTAACTAAATGAACAATTACGGATTCTATTTAATTAACGTGGCAGTAGGCTATTAAATTAAATCAAATACCCGGCCGTTGATATTCAATTAATAAAATACCCATGAACAATTAATTCAGGAAATGCACGAATAGCAATTAATCGGAGGAAATAATGAAGATTCGGTTAGATCTCACAGATATATGGACCGCGCCTTCGCATCAACCTTTGGGTAGAGGAGGAAATTAGCCGCTCCTCATCGTTTCAATCCCGCGTGGTTTAATTGACTTCATTCAATTATTTGCCAAGGAATTGGGAAAGGGAAATTAACTGCAATAACAACCGAAAAGGCCCTGCCTTCGTCCCTTTCGTCGGAGTCCCAATTACAAAGCCGAAAGCTACGAATGAATTATCCAACGGAAAAGTTGAAAGTCAGAAGAGACAAGCGACGTCTAGCGCCTGGGAAAAAGAAAACTAAAGCTACTGTCTTTTGATTCGATGTAAATCTAGCTATCTAATTTGCTGCCAAGAAGAAACAAAAGTGAAGGGAGCCGTCTGACAAAAAGTAGCCAAAAAAAGAATAATAGCTTCGGTCCCTTTTTTTTCTTCTGAATCCCTCTTTATAGCCGCCGCCCACAATAAGTCCAAGAAGAGTCAAAGAAAGCAACGTCTCCTCCAATTGATTCTGCAAAAGGCCATTTCCCTTTTTGAGTTTTGATCCCATGCGCCTGGTCCACATGGACCACGGTCCGTCTTTCGGTTTCGTCCACCTTCCAAGGCGTGGTCACGCCTTGGGACGACAAGTCTTCTGGAAATCTACCCCGCGAGATCATTTTTAATGCTGATCACCTATAATTCATACGAATGTGAGATATGAGTTAAACCTCAGTACTTAGCATAGTAAATAGTCGAAATTAGACCAAAATAACACTGCAAAATGTGCCAAATAACTGCTCTATCAAATCCCCCACACCTAGACAATGCTTGCCCTCAAGCATTTCGAAGCTCAGAAGTACAACCAAGAGAGCAGAGGTCATGCAGTAGTCCATACTAATACAAGCATCTAGGGTCCCTGACAATATCACCAGAGGTAGAACACACCGGACATGTTGTAATTCGAATTGAAGAATATATAAGAATACTAGGAACGCTCAAATCAACATCACGGAATGTCATTACCATAGGCTTGCACATTTATCACATCTCCACCACTTAAAAGTGAACCGAACACATAAATCAAAGGGACTTTAATAGGGTTGTAATGGGGCTCAGGTGAAAGGGGGTTAAGAAGGTATAGATAGGGGTGAAGTGCCAAGAGAATGTCCGAAACTCCCAGTAACCACCGTGCTTTATCGAAGGAGTTTAACTAATAAAGCAGTTTCCATTTGCTGTACACCCGTACAAGTGCCAAAATTTTTTTTTTTTTATAGAGCTATTTGCAAGGCGTGGGCACGCCTTGTAACCCTTAGTCCACTGGTCACGAGGGATTCTTCAGTTTTTTTTTTTTTTTTTTGGAAGAAAGAGAGCCCTGTAGGGCGTGGGCACGCCCTTTAAGCCAAAGTCCACTGGTCAGTGGCCCTCTTCCAAGTTCTCATTCTTTCTACAAGACTAACATCATATGGCACCTAATCTAAAACCACTTGCAACCCCCAAATTTGTTTGTTTTCGCACAAATGATGGAATTCAGGCATCCCTTG